CGAATGCCAAGGTCCGTTTCGGCGGGTGGCGACAATGGCATCTCGACAGGCAGACGTGCGCGAAAGGTCACTTCCCCCCAGCGAGCTCGGTCTTAACTCCTCGACCTACGGTCTTCGGAGCTCGGGGGGCTAGTGTACTGTCCGTGCCGCAAAGCCGAGCTCCGAGCTCGGCATCGCAGCGTAAAATGAGGTCGGGCACGCGCTACGCGACGTCAGCTCGGCATTTAAGCAGATCATAACTGATCTCGAGGGATCTCGCTTCAGGCAAGATCCACTATCTAATCTTATCATATCTTATCTCAGGCCTAAGGCCCAAAGCAACCCTAATTCACACTAAGGTACGTGCATTACTTATACAAGATTCGTACTCCCACAAACACTAACTTTAGCATTAGAGTCTCTTTTGCAGGTACCACCCCCATATTGGAGCATCAAGCGTACTAGCGAAGGAGACTCACCGATCTTACCTGGCGGATCAGCTCTACAGCAGATTTCTGGTAAGAACACAAAATAAAACTAAAATTTGGCTAAATAATGTTAAAAATCTACATTAATTTGAAGAGTTATGAGAATAATACAAGGTTGGTAGTCATAAGATTATAAGATTAGGAGATAATGCTTAGTGAGTCTACATCCGATTTAGCTATAAAATATATACACATTATGAAAAAAAGGAAGAAAAGGCACTTACAAAAAAAACTTTAGATATTAAAAAAAATTGTCAATATCATATTTTAAAAAACATAGTGTGAGAATTTCTCTTTCATGTTGATATAAAATAGTTATGCATAGGAAATGAATGAAAGAAAAGTCAATTAGTTTTTTTTTACTTTTTTTATTTTGATATTTTAATATTTATTTTTTTATTTTAGTACGTGAACCTTATTCACATGGGCTACTTAGATGTCAAAAGTTCATTTGTGACTATGATTGATTTTTACCTTCTATATAAATTACCATGTCCATCATAAGTATAAATTAGAGATGAAATAGTTATAGAAACTATAATGGTGTCAAAAGAGTTGAGACAAAAAAATTTATATAATCGGTATACCTTTTATAAGTATGGAAGAGGGAAAGACGCACATTGTGTCTCTACATATTTTGTTCAAAAAGTAAACATAACAAAAGTTATTATAAAGATAATAATGGTGATTTTATTTAGTGGAAGAAAAAAATTATTCAATAATAGTTATTATTAAAAATTTGTAATCATTACAAAGGTCTTTGGTGATAACGACAATAGAGGTAAAAATAAAATTTTAAACAAATATAAATAAATAAGTTAAGTGGTAAATGAGTTTTAAGAAAAGTGAAAACAATATAATATTTATATAATATAAATTATTATGATAATGTATTTACATTTGATATATATTATTTTCTATTCTCCACTTTTCTATTTGCTTTTTGCAAATAAATTTTTTTTTCATAACAAATATTATGAATTTAATGATAAAAATTGTAATACTTATTAAAGAAAAATGTCTTAAAAATACCTATTTTATAAGTTATTAGCATAAAAAAGACACTTTAGGTCTCTATATATTTTAAAAACATAAAAAAGTGAGCTATTAATAATAATTATTTGAGTAAGTGTAATTATAACGGTAGTTTTTTCATAATAGTGGAGAGATAAAAAGTAGTTTGAGAGGTGGTTGTTAGAACATAGTGGTTCAAAAAATGTGCACCAAAAAGGGTAATTCCCTTTATTAATAGTATACATTATTATACTAATATGAAAAGAGGCATTTTGTTTCTCTCCTAATTTGTTATTTCTATGTATTAAAATAGTTGTAGCAAATGAAAAAATTAAAGTTTTAAAATAAGTAGTCATATAGAGTAATTTTAAAAATTAAGGGTAAAATTGTTCAATCAAAAGTGAAAATAAAAAAAAATAGTTATTAAAATATATCTCCTTTATAATAGATATAAATACCAAGAAAAATAATATACAAACCAATAACAATTTAACGACAAATTATACTTTTGAATCAATTTGATCCTTTTAAAATAATAATTATTTTTAATTTTGTAACATGATTGTGAATTAATTTTTGACCAATTCAAATTGTGAAACTTTAACATTAAATTCACTTATACGAAAATTATAAAATAAAATTGATGATTGAATTTAAAAGAGTTATAAAGATAACAAAATTGTGCAAAAAAATTTATCCCACATATGAATTATATTTTTTTTCTTGAAATTTTAATTTTCAATATGTTACCATTTGGTTTGAAGTTAAATTACATTTAATATTTTCATATAGTTAAATCTTTTGAGACATGTTTAAATTAATAAATCTAAAAAAAAAAAAACTTAAATCTAAAATATCAAAGATCAAAACAAACATTTTAAAAGATAAAAAATTAAAACAAATTATCAAAAGTATAATTTAAATTTTCTTTTAACTTATTATCTACTTTTTGCTTAAAAAAAAACTTTTTATCTACTTTAATTTAATTTTATTATAATTATTTATAAATTAAATTTTAATATTTTAAAATAAATTATCAATAACTAAAAATAATATTATGTTATAATATCAATTATTCGTAAATATAAAATATTATTTATACATTTTAAAATATCAAAATTTATAAAATTTTAAATATAATTTATATATTTAAATATAATATTTATTTATATATAATTTATTATAAATTTTAATTATATAATAAATATATATTATGTATATAGTAAAGACTAAAATACTAATACTATTAATAAAAAATGGAATATATAATTAATCACCAATCATATCTTTTAATAGTACTATGTCAGTTGCTTATTTAATGAAATAAAAATAAAATAAAATAATTTAAAAGATATGATTGGTTGTCATTTACAAAACTTTACACTTACCGTGTATGAATGATTAACTATATATATCTATATATAGAGTTAATCACCTATATACTGCTAGTGTAAAGTTTTTTTATACTATCAACTAATTATATATTTTAATTGTGGTATATCACTATAAACACAATTATTTTTAAGAGTGACATAACACACTTAAAAAATATAATTGATTGCCAGTGTAAAAAAGCTTTACATTATGATAATTAACTTATATATATAATAATAATAATAATAATAATAATAATAATAATAATATAAAAGTTATAAAGGTAACATGGTAGAAAAAATAATTGTGTAAGTGTAAGCTGATACTCAAAAGGAAAAAAAATTGATTTATTTATTTGATATTTATTTATAAAATAAAACTGGTGAATAAAACCCTACCTGTTCTGGGGGTGGGGGACGAAAATCAATCGAAGGTGTACGTTTGGTTTTAGGTTTAGCTAAGCTTCTCACTTTCGGTCTCTTCTCTTGGTAAGACGAAAGATGGGAGGCGAAGGAGGATCTTCGAGGAAGAAGAAGAACAAGAATGCAAAATCTGGGGGTTTTGAATCCCTGGGTCTAAATCCGAATGTGTTCAGGGGAGTGAAGCGGAAGGGGTACAAAGTCCCCACTCCAATCCAGCGCAAGACCATGCCCCTCATCCTTTCCGGGTCCGACGTGGTTGCCATGGCTCGCACGGGCTCCGGCAAAACGGCGGCGTTTCTTCTCCCGATGCTTCACCGCCTGAACCAGCATGTCCCTCAGTCCGGCGTGAGAGCCCTGATTTTATCCCCCACACGAGACTTGGCCCTTCAGACTCTCAAGTTCACCAAAGAGCTTGGCCACTTCACAGACCTTCGCGTTAGTTTGTTAGTCGGCGGAGACAGCATGGAGAGTCAGTTTGAGGAGTTAGCTCAGAGTCCGGATATCATAATCGCCACTCCCGGCAGGCTCATGCACCATTTGTCCGAGGTCGATGACATGTCTTTGCGCAGCGTCGAGTACGTCGTATTCGACGAGGCAGATTGTCTATTTGGCATGGGTTTCGCCGAGCAATTGCATCAGATTCTCGCTCAGCTCGGGGAGAATCGTCAGACCTTGCTTTTCAGTGCCACGTTGCCCAGTGCGCTTGCGGAATTCGCCAAGGCTGGTTTGCGGGACCCTCGCCTCGTGCGCCTCGACCTCGAAACTAAAATCAGCCCTGACTTGAAGCTCGCCTTCTTCACTTTGAGGCAGGAGGAGAAGTACGCGGCTTTGCTGTACTTGATTAGGGAGCATATTGGTTCTGATCAGCAGACGTTGATTTTCGTATCCACCAAACATCATGTCGAGTTTCTCAATGTTTTGTTTCGGCACGAGGGTATTGAGCCGTCTGTATGTTACGGCGACATGGATCAAGATGCTCGCAAAATCCACGTGTCAAGGTTTCGGGCAAGGAAGACTATGTTGTTGATTGTGACGGATGTTGCCGCTCGGGGGATTGACATTCCGTTGCTTGATAATGTTGTCAATTGGGACTTTCCTCCCAAGCCTAAAATATTTGTCCATCGTGTTGGAAGGGCTGCAAGGGCTGGTCGAACTGGTACTGCGTATTCCTTTGTGACTTCTGAGGACATGGCTTACCTTTTGGATCTTCATTTGTTTCTTTCGAAGCCTATCAAACCTGCTCCCACCGAAGAGGAGGTCTTGCTGGATATGGATGGAGTGATGACTAGAAATGACCGGGCAATGGTGAATGGGGATACCATTTATGGTCGTTTCCCACAAAAAGTCATCGACCTTGTTTCTGACAGAGTTAGGGAAATTATTGATGCTTCTGCTGAACTGGAATTATTGCAGAGAACCTGTAAAAATGCTTTTCGGTTGTATTCAAAAACTAAACCCTTACCAGCAAAGGAGTCTATTAGAAGAGTGAAAGATTTGCCTCGAGAAGGGCTGCATCCGATGTTCATGAATGTGTTGGAAAAGGGGGAGCTAACTGCACTTGCATTTTCTGAGCATTTGAAAAAGTTTAGGTGATTGCAAGATATGTTAATTCTGCTGATATCTTTTCTACTTCCTTTTAGTATATTTTATAGTTGCATAACTTTATTAATAATTAATAGTTAAATTACAGGCCAAAGCAGACCATTTTGGAAGCTGAAGGGGAAGCAGCTAAATCAAAGCATCAACAGGTGGGTTTCTACTTTAAATACATTATCCATATTGCGGTCTAATTCAATAATCTTATTGTTGGATTTTGCATTCTGAATAACATTTTCTTGTTCCCCGCCTCCAGTGACTAAAAGCCATAATTCTCTTTTACAACTTAATATTTTTCATTTTTACATATTTATAACATGAAAGTTGGATAATCATGGTGGATGATATGGTTTTTCTGTCTTTCTGTCATCTTTGGTATTCTGAATTCAAATCCATTTTATGTTTGTTCTTGCAACTACTGTGACTATGACTGCTTCACTGGGTTAAACACAATTTCGATGTGTTATGACATTATAGTAGGAAGGTTATAATCCATTTTGGATAAACTTCTCAACAAGTATTCATAGAAGAAGAAATAGATAATAAAATTAATCAAACTTATCAATAAATTAAAATCAAGTTATCCACTTTAATGGTTGGAGAAGTTAGATGAGAGAGCTTCTAAAAGGGTGAAGGCATATAAGTTAATTTTAACTTATGAGATAAGTTTGATTAACTCTTTATTTTCTTATGTAACAAGTTCTTGTTGAGAACTTTATCCAAACAAGGCCCATATGTAAATCCCTCATTGTAGTGTTTCTCCTTTCACTTGAGCTCACGTTTTTTCATCTCATAATGAAAAATACTTATTAGAAAGGTTATTTGTCTTTTGACTCAAAACTACTGTAAGCTTATTCTTAGTTAAGTTGCAATTGTGTTGCTATATAATCCCGTGGAGCATAGGGAGTTATGTTGGTTCTTAAAGTGATGATTTGACAATTTAACTTCTAGATTGTGTCATTTAGTTTGATTGCATGCTCTTCATCACAACTATGTTGTAAAAAATGTGCTTAAAGTGATCAGTGGCCCAGCTATCCCTTCCTTTCCCATCTTCCCTCTCTCTCTTACAGGTAATATGTATACACTGTCCCCAGCACCAAAATTCTATAAAATGAAACATATCCTGGTTATTAACAGGATAGCACTTATATATTATGCATTGTTTGTGAATGACTTCAATGATCCACTCTTGGAGGTTTCACTCCCCTGTTGGACATAGTTCCTTGTTTGACATACTACACCAGATGCATGCTTGTATGTTTATATGATTGACAATTTTAATACATGTCTTGGCTTTTTTCAAAGAACACTTGAAAATATGGACAATGTATGACTCACGTTATACCTGTCTATAAACATTTCTTGAAGATGCTTTTCTCACTTGGATATGAAAATTTTAATTGCTTTGTTTACAACAGTTACATTTTATTATGTGTTGCACATTCAATGTTATGATGTCATTATTCCAGCTCTTATCTTTTATGTGAATTTGCTAGTCTTGTATCCCATTTTTATTGACTTAAGATACTTCTATGCCAATTTCCAATCTCATTCTTATTTTTTGAATTTGGGTATGTTGTATATTAATGATTAGGTCGTGTCATGTATATATATTGAATGTCCTTGTTAGTGTTTCATTCATGACCCATGATATATAATACCTGAGTCTTTGCTGCAAGCAACCTGAAAACCCTCTTGAAATATCTGTTACAATGTGCATGTCTGTATTGTTGTCTTTCCTCTTTACCTTGTAACCTATATATATTGAAAATTATGCTCAATAATTGCAGGGCCCTTCTGGCCAATGGGTCGATGTGATGAAAAGGAAAAGAGCCATTCATGAAAATATTATAAATTTGGTTCGTGAACAACAGCAGTCCAAGACTAATAAGGAAGAGGTATGTGGCTATTGCTGAAATTAGAATTTGGACAATTCAACCTCCTTTTTTAAATAACCTGCCTTGTTCTGCTGACTGATTGAAATCAATCTAGTTGTTAGTTTTATTATGGGTTTTCTTTCCACATATTTATTTCTTGGGGATATTTATATGTTTGCTCCTTGCAGGAGGAAATTCAATCGGAAATCATTCCTTCCATGGAGAAAGGAAAAAAAGGTTTTATTTCATTTATATTGTCATTGAACTTTCTTTAAGTTTGATTGTTTTGTTTCTCAGTTTGTAGAGTGAATTATCTTCATCATGATGTATTCCCCCGCCCCCCGCCCCCCTGTTTTTAAATAGTGTCTTATGCTATGGTTTTATGTTATTTGTTAATCATGGTCAATCTACTATTTCAACTGAGGGTGTAGAAATGTGGTTAAGGTGATTTCTGTACTTCCAGAACTTTGCATAGGCTTCAGCAAAAGAGTAAGATCAAAAGTAAGGGGGAAAAAGTTTACTATGGAATATAATTGATTAATGACAATAAAAGGAACTAACAAATATGTTAATAACAAGCTGGCAGAGTTGTCTAATGGTTGTGTGAATTGCCTGCTTTCACTGTATCAAGTTAACCTTATGCCACTGAAATTGCTACCTACAACTATAAATTCATTTTTATAATTATGGTTGATAATAGTTTAATACACTGGCTTCTGGAAGATGGAAACTCTGTCTGCCTGGAATCAAGCTGCTTCAACCTTATTACCTCTTAGCAGTTAAGATAGGGTCATTGTAAATAATAGGTTAAAATTGACCGAAAGTTTCAAGGTTTACTTTAACTTGGGCATGCTTTATTAGGATTAGAATTTTTAGTGAAAAAACACTAGAAGGGGAAGACAAAAGCTAATGATTAATTTCTAATTCTGTTTCCTTGAGGTTTTGCAGCACGTGATTCTAAGAGAAAGGCACAGTCTTTCAAGGATGAGGATCACTATATAAGTTCAATACCAAATAATCAAGTAAGTCTCTATCTGTAATTCTGTATTACTGTTATTTATATTTATCTGGATTACAATAGTTCATCATATAGATATATACTATGTGCTGTGGTGGTTATGCATTTGAAACTAAAAAGCTGGCTATACATATAACTTGCATCTTGCTACGATTGTCAGCATATGGAGGCTGGCCTTCAAGTAAAAGCCAATGAAGACTTTGCTTCAAATAGGTAAACCTTTTTTCAATTAATTACTAATCAGTCCTCATTATTTTTCAATATTTTATTGTGAACCAAACATCCCACTGGCCCATATTCTCAATCATTAGTTCAGAAGCAAAAAGCTGGAACTATAAAACTTTTGGTTGATTGTGTTTTTGCTTCGGTGTTTCTTTTTCTGCTCGTATGTTATATTGTGACTTTCAACATGGATGATTCAGTTTTACTTATACCATAATGTTTTTAGCTGTTTGGTTTTGGTCCTAATTGTATTAAATTTTTTAGATTGGAAGCAGCTGTCCTCGATCTAGTAGCAGATGATGGTACTGGCATTAAGAAACAAAGATCTATGTATCACTGGGATAAGGTAATACTAAAGTTGTGGGATTATTATATTGTAAAAGAAGACAGGTTATTTCTGAAATTTTTGAAGAACTTGTCATTTATCTCATAAACCTTTTGTTGTCAGAGGAGTAAAAAGTACATCAAGTTAAACAACGGTGATCATGTTGCTGCAAATGGAAAGGTACAATTTTTCTAAGGCCTGGTCATTTTTGTTGGTACTTATTATGCAATATGAGATTCTTTTATTCATCTACATGTAAGATTTAGAACATAAAATATATATTTTCTATGAGTACAGATAAAGACGGAGAGTGGGGCAAAAACCAAGGCCACCAAGACTGGTATATATAAGAAGTGGAAAGAGCGCTCACACGGTAGGATATTTCTTAGAGGAACAAATAGTGATGGTGATCCTCGGGAATCAACAAGTTTGGCAGGTACTATACGAAGTTTGCTTCTCCCTTTGGTTTTTATGTTTGATGAACATTGTTATATCGGAAACTACTAACTAGTATTTATCATCCAAGAAAAATATTGTTGGAGATTGCATGGGTTTTCTTATATTGTTTCCCAGTAAGAATTATCATGCCATTTGCATGTAAAAGGCCCATGTGTTTTGGCTTATTTAGAAACCGGTAATTGAAGTTTACTAGCCTCAATAAAATATTTAAATCGAATAAACTTTCACAAGAATCAAAACATTATTTTACATCAGTTAGCTTGTTTAGCTTTTCAATGACAATGGGAGTCGTGCTTAGTAAGCCTCTAAATAGTGATGAGATTTACTTTGGAAATCACCTGTAAAGCCATTTGAAATTTGGACAACTTATTGGTGTAATGCTGCATGATCTATGAGCTGCAGGCTTCATTATAGTTATTTTTTTCTTAAAACTATAATCTGGTTCAACAAAACCCTTAATCTCATTTTGAAATTGTCACATATTCTGTGTTATGTACTCATGTTTCTCAACTTTTCTGTAAATACTTATACTTGTAACTGACGGTTGGTAATGTCAAATGTATGGTTGTGGGATATTTTTGTTTGGTATAAAAAAAAAAAAGCTAAACGATGAAACTTTATGAATTTATGTTATACAGGGCCTTACCAAAGAGGGCGTAGGAATTTTAAAGGCAGCAAGAAGCAGCATTCAATGCCCAATGCTCACGTGCGTTCAGAAATTAAAGATATGGATCAAATTCGAAAGGAGAGACAGACAAAGGCCAACAGAATTTCTTTTGTAAAGAGCAAGTCGACAAAGGGTAAAAAGTTTGGTAGAAATGGAAAAAAAAGAAAAGGAAAATAAAGTTTGTTTGAAGCTCTATAAATTAATTAGTTAAGGAAGAAAAGGTTTTCCATCAAAATTCTTGCGGAAGCGTTGCGTCTTAAAGAATTTTATATTTTGAAGGGGTAGGGGAGTGAGAAACCCATCTGACTGGAAATTATTCTTGGTTCGCCAACAAATTTTGTTTGTTCAAAGTATTGATTCTTAACACTAGTTGCTGTACATCGATCACACCTGTGCACTACTTTTTATCTTTGAAATTCCCCTTTTGTACTTTTGGTATTTTGTTGGTGTATTTCTGCTGCAGTTTAGTTTGACAACCACCAAATTAAGCCGTATTTATCTGCTGACCGAGGCTAGAGTGGGGGAGGTAAAGAAATTCCCCACCGTGGGAAAGAAATTTTAACCGTCCAGATTTACTTATTGAAATATGAGTTGACACGATGATAACCGTGTAACCGGTGTTGAAGGTAAATATTCTTTATGATATTTTTAACACTTAAATCCACGTGGCTTCTCAACTACTGTATCTGAATTACTTTTCCGTTTTTTTAACATTTTGGAAGACTGTAGTTGTAGAAGATAACTGAGTGTATATATATATATATATATAATGAATTGAGTGGTACAAGCTGCAGTGATATATAACTGCTGTCATAACAGATTACAACATGATTTCTGTTTCACACTTTGAATATAAGAGATATCTTAGGATCTACAATTCAAATAGAGTTAATAAATTAGGGAAATGTTACAGATACAATAATTTACATATTACTTTTGTGTCTCTTCATTATTAATAACATCTCTTAATAATAAATGAAATGACAAATATTGCGTCTTTACAAGATGTGTGTCATTACTTA